AGGTCAGGATGTATGTAAATACCTTTGAATTCATTTATAACACCCTTAGTAAGCTCATAAAATGCTTGTTTTGAGGTCGAGCCACTTTTGGCTCCACCGTATTCTTTCAACCAAAACTCAAGAATTTCCTGCATTTTAGCACTATTGAGAAATCTGTTTAAATGGTTTAACTTTCCTGCTTCTCTTGCCATCTTTGTTGCATTAATGTAACCATCCTTGTCTCTATGTAAGACTTCAATACCGTTATAAGTGCCTTTTGTGAATGTTTCGCCATTAGATTTGTTCGTGAATGTTTTTGCTTCGACTGACATTTCTGTTCTTACATACAAGATAAAAAATTAGAAAAAAATAAAATTAGCGTTATTTTTCTAACTAATGAAATTCATTATTTTTGTTCATTTATGTTAAAATAAATGGTACCATTAATGATATCATGACTGTTCTCGTTCATGTCTGATTTACATCTAATGAAAAAGTTTAGAAGAATTTTCTTATTCTTTCTGGCATATTTTTGTCTTTCCAGTACTCCCGCTCTAATGGTCCCAGATGTGTTGGCTTCGACTCTCTCAAGTTCTTAGATGGTATAACATCTTCAACGCCTCCTTCATATCTTACTTTATAAGTGTCATCGTTTGTGTTATAGCCAAGTATTTCAATAACCACTCCTCGCTTTGCTTCGTCAATGGTTTCAGCAAGTTTGCCATTACTACTTTCAACTAATTTATGACGAGGGTAAAATGCTATGGAGTCGTCAGCAGCTTTTATAAGATATCCATTACCTTGCGTAGAGTCTACGATATAATAATTTCGACTTAACCTTAAACGTTTCTTTGTCAACGGTTTGTCGTCAAGAACTACACGAACTTTTGTACCAGGAATGAGGGTAAATTGTGTTGAATTTCTGATATTTTGTGTTTGACTTCGTTTCTTTTGTATATACTTTTCTTCTTGTTGTTGTGTCATTGAATTTGGTGTATGTCCTGTTGTAGAATGCGTTGAGGAATTATATACTTCGAGAAAATGTTTCATTGTTTCTTCGGTAAAGTCTCGCTCTTGGTTTAAATCTCTGAGCGTTCTTATGAAGCGGTTTATGATACCGAGTATGTTATGGTTATGGTCTTCAGTAGTGTAGTGAGTTATGTTATGCTTAATGAGAAAATCTGTGATTTCATTGCTGAGGTATGCACTGTCTTGGTCTGATGTTAAAGTACTTGGGCTATGTTCTGCTACAAACTTTTGTAAAACTCTTAACACTTCACGAGTTCCTTTATTCCTCATTGGATATGCATATGCTTTGCGAGTGTTAACATTAATGAAGATGAGGAATGGTTTATGTCCTCCTTTTCTGCTTTGAATGAGAGTGTCAAATTGGTATGCGTCAGGAGTGTTGGAGTAAATTGGTAAAAAGTAGTCGTAAGGGTTTATTTTTGTTTGATGTACAACATTTTTGTCAAAGAACTTTTTAACTTCAGCTCTGTTAGTAAATCCCCAACTTTTTTGCTGCTTCATTGAACTTCTTAAATGACCTCCATGGATGTTGTTCGAATACTTCTTTCAAGCTCATTTATGTAAAGTTAAAGATTTTATTCAAGACGGTACCATGCGAATACAGTCATAAATGGTGGCATATAATCTTCACCCGAGCCTGTTGGATTTGTTGTGAAAGTATGGACATGATTTCCTCCTGGTTCAGTTGGTCGAAAAGTCTTTTTTGCTGAATTGTTATAAGATGGAGATAAAACTCATTGCCAGCTTTATAGTCTGAGTTGTATAATGGGTGGTCTCTTAATGAGTGGCTATGGTCGCCAGAAAAGTTTGTCGTTCCTGTATGAGTGTGCGCAGGTAAGTTTGCTTCATTAATTTTCTTTGAGCCTCCTGTTTGCTTTGAAGAGTTAGCACAGTATAAGAATTTGTCTACAATCTGTTCCCAAGTACCAAAACCTAAAACACTTGCTGGATTTGTTGAGTTCATTGACGTATATAAAGAACCAAGGATATAATGTTTGAAGTATTTCAGTCTTTAATGTTTGAAGCTCTGTTTTGTCAGCTTTGTCCTCCATTATATCTTCATAGTTTTTAACTTCAACGATTTGAATGAAAAACTCCGGATTTAAAATCATATCCATTTCTGCAGTTGCTGACCATATTTCTTCATTCCATTCAAAACTTTCACGAATATCTTCTCTATGAACTTCATAATGTACTTCTGTCTTAGTTCTGTTGAAACGTGTATATGTTATACCGTCAATGACTTTAGTTTCATTTGTTCTTTCAAGATATTCAGAATAATCTGAACCAACGCGCACTCCCTTACCTCCTTTTACTGTATAATGCCAATGTTTTTTGTCAGCCTTTTTGTCAATACTTTTCTGAATTATTGCTATATCTTCTGCTCTAGTATACGAACTAAGTTCATCTCTGCTTGCTTTCTTTTCAAGTTCTTCATCCACATAAGTTTTGTCAGCTTTCTTATCTAACATTGCTGGTAGTTCATATGTTTCAAAGTTTCTGACATGTCCTTCAATGTTCATACATTTACTATTTAAACTATTAAGAGTATCTTTTACGCTTGTACTTGGATTCTCTAAAGGTGCACTTGAACCAAGGGTATAGTTCAATATTATGTCGTCTGCTCTAACAGTAGTGAAGGATTCATGTGTATGGTTCTTGTCAGCTTTACTATTTAATGTAGCTTGAAGTTCATTTATATCGGAGATATTGTGTTTATGAGATTTCAAAACTTTGTTCGTTGCGTCAAGTTCATCTTTGTCAGCTTTACTTTTAATAGCATCTTCAAAAGTTATTTTTGCCTTAACTCTCAATAAATCTTGGTTCAACTAATACACCGTTAACAAAGAAGTATGAAGCATAAATTTCATTGTTATAACCAAATGCTTCTGGTGCTTTACCTGTGTCATACTGTACAGTACAGTGTATGTCATAACCTTCAGCACGAATGAATTTATATCTTCTTTCATTAACATCTTCCGTCTTCACTTCTTCATCTGTGTTAAATATCCATGATAATCCGTTATAATCTGTTCATCTGAACTTATATAATGAACATGGTTTTTATCTGCTTTTTCGGCTAATTTCTCTTCTATCTCATTTATTTCAAGTTCATGCCTACCACACCTCCTTCAGAAGTATTTTTCTTCAGCTCTTGAAGAACATCCACTTCACCATCTTCGGTGTCAATAATGAGACTTTGTGTTAAAACCTTTCCTGTCTTAATGGATGTTTGTAAAACTTCTTCTTCACCGTGTTCGGGGTCATGGTCGTCATCATATCTTGTGAAATCAGAGATGTTGTCATACATTAAGCATATCTGTCTCAAAAGTTCTGCTATTTGAAACTGGAACGAAAGATATACAGAACTTTCATCATCTCCTAAAGTCAAGTCTGCTTTCTTAAGTATTTCTTGAATGTATGCAATGAGAACAGAGTACCTTGGAAAATATTCGAACAATATTTCATTAGCTGTTGGTTTTGGTGGTTCTTCTGGAGTTTCTGTTGTTTCAGTTCCTTCTGTAGGTTCTGTTGGAGTTTCTGCATCTCTTGATTTCAATGCTCTTGCTCTCAAAGACCTAAATGTTAGAGCACCAGGTTTTACAAAGGACTTTATAAATGCTTTAATAGTTCCTGGTAAGTTATTGTTAGCATTAAGTAAGTTCCTTATGCTTCCATCATGTACGTCCATAGCACTATGTAAAAAATCTATACTTTTCTTGTAGTCAGCAATAGACTGACTGTGATTTTTTAAAGATTTGTCAATACCTTTAAGCCAATCTTCATGCATGTCTGATACTGAGCCAAGAATATCATTTGCTTCCTTTAGTGTATTTTGTGCTTCTCGTAAAGTATCCAATCCCGTACGTGCATTGTTTGCTATACGTCTTACAGTATCTATTTGACTCCTTGTTTCTTGCATCCAACCAGATAAAGTTTTAATAGTATCCGAACCATTTGAAATGAAGTTCAAAGCATCTTTAACGTCATCTAAAGCTTCTTCACCAAGTACTGCCCATATCTTTCCGATTTGGTATTGAAGAACTCCATATGAAGCAGCTGTTAAACCAGTATTTATAAGGTTCCATATCCATGATTTAGCAGTTTTTCCATCCTTTCCATCTTCACCTCCAAACCGTTTTCGCCTTGAGGTCCTTGTATTCCTTGTATTCCTTGTATTCCTTGTGGTCCTTGAGGTCCAGTGTCACCCTTCTCTCCTTTCAGTTCATCTTTATGTTCGTTATAATATTCTAATGTCATAAGGTGTACATCATTACTGCTACCAGCAACACCGAGAATTTGTTTCTCATTCATGACTAAATTCTTTAAGCATTTAATGTTGTCGTCAAATCGAAAGCTCTTTAACAATTCAATGAGAACATTTAATACTTTCACTAATGAGGCATCTACTGTAGAATTTATATATTGCACCGTTCCATCATTTATGATGGGAACCTTGCTTGTTGTAATGAATGGGTCATAAGTGTTAAAAGTATCGAAATCAATGACTTTTTTAGTTTTTCCATCGTCAATGACTAAATCATTGCCTTCAATGGTTAATGTTGAGTTTTCATTTACTAATTCGTGTGCTCTTCTTGCTTCATTTGTTTCATACGCATATGCAGCAATAGTCATATTTTAATGAGAATAAAATGTTGTTCTATTTGCAAAGTACAGACCCAAACGAATACAGGACAGTAAAGCTACAAACAAACTTAGGACTTCAGAATGAAGCACTTGCTTTCAGAGTTGTTGACTTCAATACGATCGCAACTTTTGTCATAACAGATGAAACAGATTTCATAGAAATTGAAATAGATGGTGTAAGAAGTGTTATAACATTTCCTAACAGAGCTGGGTATAGAATAGATAAAATTGCTGGAGTCATAGATACTCTCATAAATGAAGAAACTATTGACAACATAGATGTCGAACTTTCTTCTGAGGGAACATTGAAGTTCAGTTATGCGAAGGAGTTTAAGATAACACGAATGAGTCATAGAGTTCAATTGCTTCTGGGAGCATACCATATGACATTTCCTTTGAAAAGTGTTGACAAAACGATTGAGATGAAATCTGTTCCATATGTATGTTATGGCAATTGTTTGTACGTTGAGTCAAAAATAGCTAATGTCACAGGTATTTCAGGAGTTAATAGTAAAGGTTCAGTAGAATATAAGTCTTTCTGTTATGAAGTAAATTCAATGTTCATTCCAAATGTTCCTGTCATAGAAACTCATTTAGGTAAATGGGTTCGCATTAGTCCTCATAATTTGAAAGACATGCAATTCAGACTTGTTGACTTTCAAGGAGAGCCTGTAGAACTGAAGGCACCAGTGCGAATGACTGTTGAAGTTGACTTTTTAGAAAATATTAAATGCAACAGCTTACAAGAGAACTCAGAGCTAAAAATATAAAGTATGAATGTTATGTATTAGGTCATGAACTTTGGTTGTTGCTGTTTGATGAAACAAATGAATTAGTTATGTCAGTCAAGAGAACAGAAAAATATTGTGTTAGTGAAAACTGCACCAAGTCAATAAGATTAGGTTTGCATTATGAAGATGAGTTCGATACTGTTGAAGAAGTTTTGGATAGATATTACAAATTGCTAACTTGAAATTTTTTTGACTGACTGACTGCTTTAATTTACTAAAACATATTTCAAACAAAGCTTATAGTCAGTAGATAGTTTTGTATACTCGTTCGAATATCTATACTTAAACTCAACTCCTGGAGTACCTGGCGTTTCAATGATGCGGATGTTACCTATTTTCATGAATAGTGGAGTTTGACCACAGCATTCGATTTCAGGGTCGAGATAGTCAATGACACATTGTTTCCCTGTTATTCGTGAGATAACATTTTCAAGGTCCTCCTTTGTTAGAATTATTTGGTTCTTGCTTATAAGATTTGTCAAAAGCTTCTTATCGTCTTTGAGTAAAATTGTTTGGTATAACTGAAGAAGGTAATGGTCTACGTTATCTGAAGGATTTGTTTGAACATTTGTGTAAGGATTGTCGTTGGCTTCTCTTGAAAGAACTTGGTCCAGTGGTGGATACTCTAACTTAACATCTGATGTAGCGTTAGCGTTTGAAGCTGTGTTTAAATTCACCGACTTAAGATCTGGTTCTTTTTCTTTCAAACACTCCGAACTATAGTTCTTTATGACAATATTGTTTGTCGTTCGTGAGTCAACATTTGATGTTGGTTCAATTGGAACATTAACGGCACCAGCTAAGATGGATTTGCTTCTCATTTCATATAGAATAAAAACCTTTTATATGTATGAAATGAACAATATACTCGACAAGGGTTTGAATGTAAAGCTAACGAATGAAAATATTGTTGAATTCACTGAGACAGGTGCTGTGTATAAAGATGTAGAACTACTGAACAAAAGAGCTAAGGGAAGAAGCAGGAACATGAACAAAGGGTGGAAGCCTATAAAATTTATGTCAATGATGGCTCAGGAGGTTCAAACATAAAGTATGCAGAAAGTTATAGAGTTTATGCTCTCAAAGGTGAAAAGCCTTCATTTAAGAACAGCTATTATAACGCATATCCTCAAAAGCTAACGGATGGGGAAGTGGATGATATGAATGATAGCAAAAATATTAACAGAAATGGCGACAGAGATGCATGGAATTTGTTTACCATCAGTCAATTGAAGGTTAAACTTTAAAACAATGTTGGTCGTTCCCATGGAATATTTTTGACTTTAATGGTATTAGTCATGATATGAATCTCAAGGTATGAACGAGGAGAGATGAGAGACTTATATGCTTCCCAAATTTCTTCAAAAGGTAATGTTATACCTGACTGTTTCCAAATGAGTTCAATATCATAGCGTGAGAAACCTTGAAAGATAACGAAGTCAGTTATGAGACGTTTTATGTTTAAAGCTAAAAACCTCCATGTTTGCATAAGTATTGCTACAGTTAAGTGGTAATGTCTGACTTTAGTAATGATGTTAGCTAATGGTGAGTCTGGTTTTGACACTAAACCTTTACCAGCGAAGTCGTCACAAACTAATAAAGTGTTTGATGGATATTTTTTTGAAGGGGTATTTTGAAAGTTTTGATAGAATGTAGTTTGTAAGTCGTTTCATATCGTAAACTCCTGAGTATTGACGTAAGTGGTGTTTGTCAATAATTCTTTCCATCTCCTCAGAAGTCTTTTGCATTCCTGACTGTATGAACTCTACGATGGCATAATATTTCCTCTTACGTCGAATGTAACGTTGAAGAAATTCAATGAGTTCACTGTCTGGAACTTTAACGACAGAGGCTTGAACTTTTGACATAAATGTTTTCGCTGTTGAATCCATAGAGTCTGAAGTTGCTGATATAATGATTTGGTCATAATATGAGTCATTTCCTAAACGCTCTGTTATGAGTATATGACGAATGAGGTTAAATGTCTTACCTGAACCCATCTTTCCACAATAGAAATACACACCATTTGAACAGAACTCATAATCTTTGCTGAAAGGAAGAATAAGAGAAGAGTTAAGTTTGTCTGTAGTTTCATTCATGTCTTCATCTACGTCATGTATTAAATGCTTCATTTTATCTCCATTAAAAATGCAAGTCAGAAATATTCAGAACATAGCACCGAGTCTAACTGACAAGAGTATAAAGATATACTATGAACACGTTATGATGAAACCAACCAAAATTCAAGAAAGTCAGTATACTTATGAATATCCAAGACACTGGGTAGAGTATGTAGGAGGTGAGAAAGCTATTGAAATCAGACAGGTTCGAAGTATTCCAGCAGGAAGAACAATATTATTGAAGAACTTTAATGTTTTGAGGTATAATGATGAAACAAAGAAGCAAGATAGTTTTCCTGTTGCTGTGTATGTGAACTTAGATACAGGAGATGACATGAAAGTTTTTAACACAAAGCTTCAAACGGTAGTGAGAGAACAACTGACTGCGGAAGGACATCCATTACCTTCAGAAGTTAAAATCTATCCAAAGGTGTGTTTAGCACAAACCTGAATACTGCGAATAGAAATAAACAAGTTACATATATATAAAGTTTATTTAAATATAATCACCATTGGATTCAATCACGCGTTCGCAGCGATCGATCCAGGCTTGAAAGACACGCTTTAAATCATCATGAGAAAATTGCTCAAATTGCTCTCTTACAAAATTTTCAAGATCATCTGGACTCGCGAATTCGCGTCCTTCAGCTCTCTTTTTTAGCGTGCCGAATAAATAAAAGTCAGAGGGTGCAATATCAGGTGAATAAATTGGGTTTGGAACAACTTTGACATTGTTTTCCAACAAGTAATTCATTACCTTATGACTTTTGTGAACTCTTGAATTATCAAAATGAATTGCAAACTTTTGTTTTTGTTGTTTGGATTTCTCAAACTCATCAGAATTGATAATTTGAGTAAGAACATTGTCAATTAGATACTGAGCATTCATCGTATTAGGTTTTTGAAGAATATCAATTGCGATGATGCCATTCACGCCCCAAAAAACCGACAACATCATCATTGGTGTGTCAATTTTTTTCTTCGGGAATGTTTGCGGATTTTCATCCTTCGGGATCCACATGATTTTGGCTTCTGTTGCATATTGAAACCAAGACTCGTCCCCTGTTACTAAAAAGCGAAACTTCTTGGATTGATACGCACCCAATATAGAGAGGAGCTCTTTCGAAGATTGGACTCTAGATTTTTTTTGAACTGAATTAAGGTTGTGCGGAACCCAACGTGTATACGCTAGTTTGTAGTTCAAATAATTGTGCAGATAATAACTGACTGTTGTACATGGTATCTTTGTCATCTCCTCTATCCTTCTGAGTGATGCTCTTGGGTCTTCATCTAGCGCTTGAAGAATTGCTTTGATTTTTCTTTGATCCGGCGATTTTTTGTCAATTTTTATGATGGGCGCCTTTTTGTTCATGAAGTGATACATCCTAACATGATACGTTACAGTGGAATAGCTAGGAGCATCCATACCGAAGCATTTTACCAATGTCTCGTAGATTTTTTTACAGTCTTTGCATTTTTTTGCAAGAGCGAGGATGTTTTCTTTATGATTCATTAAAAAATGAAAAAAATCCCGCCAAAATTTCCCGCGAAACCGCCTCTTGTCTCAAAATTCATTTTATATACCGGCATGGCGCCAAAATACAACATACTCATCATATACATATATTCATATTTTTTATTATATATTTATAATCAGCATATATCTCCTTTAATAGTCTCATATAGAGCGCTGTGCTAAACGCACATTTGGACACCCTATATTTAGGGTTAGGAAGTGGTGAAGTTCTTGTATGACCAATGAACTCATTTTCAACGCCTTTGGCTATATTAGAGAAAAGAATAGCTTGCTTTCTATCCCAAATGCCGGGTGTTACAATCTTTGAAAATTCATTTTTCCTCGGAAGCATTGCATCATAATTGAAAACATTCTTGAAATCATCACTTGGTTCAGAGATTTGAAATTTTATACGTAATGGATTTTCTTTCTCTTTAGCGACTTCATTGAATGGTGAGAATACAACAAACTGACAGTCATGTGTTCCATCTTCATTTTCATTAAATTCATAATGAAAGTCTATAAGTTGTGGCTGACTACCTTCTTCTTTCAGTTGTGCAAGAAACTCACGTAAAGGCTGTAAAGTTTGTACTTCAATGTTGAACTTTTTCTCGAACATCTCATTAAATGAAATCATACATTGCAACAATGTTGTATCGTCTTTAAAGTATTTGGATATGTGAATGTTTTGGTCGCTTAAAGACTGTTCGTCATTTTCTATCTCGACTTGAAGTATAAAGTCAACCTTTCTGAAAGCACGTGTTATATACATATTTGTTATGCCAATGTACTTCTCTTCATTTATGTTCACAATCCAGTCTGTTGGAAACTTAAACGTTACTCTGTTCCCCTTTATTTTGACGTCAGGGTTTTCACTACTGAACGCAACAGATAAAGGTATTTGTCTATACATTTAGTTCGAAAAATAACCCATTTACTCTTTCTTTGCTTTTGCTTCTTCTCTAGCTTTTGCTTCAGCTTCTTCTCTAGCTTTTTTCGCCAGTAGTCTTGGGTTCTTTTGTCTTCCAGCAGCTAATGCAGCTAGTTGTTTTTCACTAAGTTTTCTCTTTGGTCTCTCTGGCTTTTGTTCTTGTTTTTGTTCCTTCAGTTCGGATAAAATTTGCTCACGAATTTCTTTCTTCAATGCTTCAACATCTATTGTCTGAGTCATTTGACTGCGGATAAAAATCTAACTTAAAACTTTAACCAATGTAAAATGAGCTTGTCAAAATCAGAGCGAGAGTCTATTATATTAAATGACGCAAGAGGAATACAACATCCTTTCTATTACGTAAGTCAGAGTAAAGATGGTAAAATATACGTAAGAAAAAGAAAGGTTCCATTAGCGAATGCAGAAAGCGACAACATTAAGGTGTATGGTAAGGGTGAAGTCCACGAAGCCCATGTTAAGCCTTCTATTCAAACTGAAAAGTCAATAGAACCAGAAGAAAAAAAGCCAGATGTACTTTCAATAACGAACCAAGAGCTTATTGCAAAGTTCGTGAATTTCATTGAAAAACAAACCGAGTCAAAGAATCCTGACCCGCCAGTGAAAGAAGTTGAGACAAAAGAGAATGTACAGTTCATTGAAAATGTCAAGAAACAACTTCCACCACGAATGCCAAGAAGAAGAGTGAGAATAATGAAGTAAATAGATATTTTATCTGAAGTAAATACATGCAGAACGAACAGCTAAACGAATTTACTCCAGCAGAGCATATTCATCAGATTCGCTCATATTTTGTTATCATAGACAATGCAGTTCAAATTGGTGACACTAATAGAAAATATTCTGACGCAAAGATTCCATCACAACCTGGAACTGCTAAAGATAACACATGGGTAACATTCAATCTCTCACCTCCTGGTGAAAATATGTTGGACCTTTACAATACATTCATTACGTATAAAATGGAAGGTCAATTTATTGTAGATAAAGAAATTGGTTCAGGTTCCAATAAAACAAACCCACCAGGATTTTGGATTGGTTTCGATGACGCTTTCTATGCAGTTGCTGGATATCAAATCCTTGCAAATGGTCGTATCGTATATTCTCAAGACAACGCAAGAGAAGAAGCATATATAACTTCAAACTCACAAAACTACCGAACAAATAAAGAAAGTAGATGTTTTCTCAAAGACTCGACATGAAGATGTATGGAGTCATTCGGGAACATGCAGAACAGGACAAATTGTTAGTGGTCCAATTACAGCAGGAAAATCATTTGATTTTAAGCTTTGTTTAAGAATTCCTGTTAGAAGATTCCTTCCATTAGAAGCTATTCGATTTATTCCAGCTTTTGCAGGAAACATTCAGCTTAAAGTAAAGTTCAGTAGCGACGCCTTACAATGCACATCTATATCTGTAAATGATATCATTGCTTTCAATCCAACTCTTAAAGTTGCATTTGCTTCAGATTCAAATCCACCGACAAATAAATTTGTTCCATGGAATGAACCATTCACTATGATAACGAAGGCAGTAGAAGCTAGTGGAACAGTTACTATTACAACTGTAACCCAGCAACTATTTCGAACAAAGATGGATTTTAATGAATGTTCATTCATCCAAAGTCATTCTCTTTAGACCCTAACATTTATACAGAACTTGTAGAACATTATACAAACGAGGCTTTATGTTTTCCTGTTAAAGTTATGGATTGGATTCCTATGGACGGTTCATTCTCAAAGAATACAGATAGTTCAAGTGCAACATTTACAGCAGCTTATACGCCTATTAATGTTAAAAGTATTTGGGCACTATTTAGAAAGAAAGACAACTATTATGTTAATTTTGAGAACCCTAAGTTTAAATATCTTCAGCTTTCCATGGGAGCTTATGGAAATATGCCTGCAGAACCTGAAAAATCATATGGACCTGTATTTTATGAAATGGTTGCGAACGCCTGCAATACAAACAATGATATGATAGGATTTAATGAAGATGTTATGAGGTCATTGGTGGATGATGGTAGTGTGGAACATAAATGGGATAGCTATGACAACACACATTTCTTATGTGGTTTTCCAACAGAAGTGGACTTTTGCTTCCAGCAAGGTCAAACATCTACTGCTCCAATAACATACAATTTGTCTGTTAAAGGACCTATTGAACTAGCAACTGAAAATGTACCAAAGCCACTTATTGGATTTATGAGGGATTGTTGCTTTGCCATTCAGGTGCGTGCTAATGGCATCCCCATAATAAGATTAGATGACTATAACTTAGCTACGGACGACAGTGAGGAATAAAGGATGAACGTTTATTTTTAAAGCTTATAAATGAGTTCTTCATCAAGCTCTCGTGAACCTTCACCATCTATGAAACAAACTTTACCAAACGATTATGGAGCACCTATTGAATATTTCTTACGAGCTGCACAATGGCAAAGAGCAGTCTCACCAAGATTAGGTGTTCCACCAGCTCCTGTCAAAAATAGCATTTGGTCAAGTCCTTATATAAGATATGGTCTCCCACTAGGTTTGCTAGCTACAGAAGGAGCCGTTATGATGTTGAAAAGAAATAAAGCAAATGTTGTAAATAATACTGAAGTAGCTGAAGTTAAACAAACTCCAACACCTTCGCCAAAACCAACGCCTTCACAAGCAAAACCTTCAATGACTCCTGAACCTATGGAAGTACAAACTCCTGTTCAAAAGTCAACTCCTAAACCGACGCCAACATTTAAACCAGAACCTACTCCTCAAATAAATCGTAAAACTCCTGCGTTTCCTTACTGAAAAAATAACGTTATTTTTATTTTATTTGAACATTTTATTTAGAGTAAAATGACGACTAAAGTCACTGAAGCAATGAAACAAAAGTTCTTGGTAGAATACATTAAATCAGGAACTATTCCAGAAGGTTTTTACATTCATACTATGAAGGATGGTAGAGTTCAGTTTAGAAAGATAAAACAACCATTAGATAGAGAAGGTATATTAAGGAAGATTAAACTTCATGAGGACAACATTGCTGAACTTAGGAAGAAGCTAGAAGAGTTGGATAAAGCAGACGACAGTGAGGAATAAAATATTTCATTAGTTTTATTTTTACTGAAAATTTTTATTTGGATGTAATGACGAAAACTATTGAGATAACAAACTACAACGGTCATGAGTTCAAGAATTTGTTCTTCGTTCCTCATGAAAATACATTCTATCAGATACGAGGGAGAAAGGGTAAAGTTAGTTTGAGCATTTATGATAGCAAACATAATGGAAGATATATACAAGCAGTAGATACAAACGGTAAGCGTGTTTCATTACATTTGTCAAAACTTATAAACATTAATTATGACAGCGACTTTGACTCAGACGATTGGAGCGACAGTAGTGATACTGAAGAATATGAACTATTATGTGAAGCACAGCAATGGAAAGAGTTGCAATACTTTTGTAAATGAGAACATTAGTGAGAACGTTAGTGAGAACGTTTATTTTTTCATGCACGTGCATTGTGTCGCGGGGAGTTGCCATGGGCAATGACCTGCGCACAATATATAACGTACAGAGAGGTGAGATGAGGTGGTTTATGTGATAAATACTTTACGTGGCAGAAATAGTTTAAGGTTATTAGAAATATTGCATATGCGATGTAAAATATACGTTAATGGTTTTGTAAAGTGTCAGATTGACATAACTTCGGTAAGATGGAGCGCAGTGCCACCGTACTGAAGATATGTATACTAACTGATGTATATTCGAATGAAAACTTCAAAGCTATTGCATGATTAGATAATGACGATTGCTTTAAGAAAATATTTAAATTCAGTGACTCAAAGATGTCAATAGATGACCTTCGTGGAATGTTACCATCGACGTTTACAGTAGAAGGTTCAGCAGGATTGCTTACAAGATTGTCAATTGGTGGTATTTGGTCTCGTGAGAACATTGTTATAAAATCCAGTATAAGTGAATTTGCTGAAGAATCTATATTATGTCTTTCAAACTATATGTATTCGCCACCGAAGCATTATAGTATAACAAACTTTGTCAGTAAGTTTAACATAAGACTTGTCGAACCTTCTTCAATGAAAGATGTTGTGCTACCTAAAGACGGAAAGGATGGACTCATTATTGAGATGATTTTAATAGCATATTAAATGAGTTTGTTTTTGAAGGTCATTCATGATGAAATAATTGTTGTAGAAGATGTTAGCAATTGTTCAGACATTTTGAAGCGTATAGATGATATAAGAAATAAGTTAGATAGACCGCAAAGCGGTGAGGGCGAAGCCCGTGAGAACGTTTATGTTTCATTGACTTTCTCCAGTAACGAGAACTTTTATGAGATAATATTGAAGAGAGATGATTTTAATATGGTGTAAATGGTAGCTTGGGCAGCTTTAGGCGCAATGGGAACAAAAGCATTAGCATTTGGAGCAAAAGCACTTGGAGCTTATGACGCAGTAAATAAAATGAGTGGAGGAAGGGTTTCAAAGACATTAGATGCAAATAAAGGAAAGATTGGAGGCTGGGTTGCAAAGAAGTTAAGATTAAATAAAATAGGGATCATAAATAAAGCATCCAATTTGGTTGCGACTGAGTCAGAAAATGCTTTAGGAAAGGACGATGAGTTTGCAAAACACGCAAAAGACTTTAATGACCAGATGAAAGGTGAAACAATGCATTTAAATAGAGTCGATGGAACTAAAGAAAATGTTTCTTCTCACAACTTCCACCAGCGGTTTATCCATACGGACCTTATGGAATGTATGGAAACCCTTATGAACGACCATTTGACCCATTGACTGGTGGAAGTAATTGGTATCATTACGGACGAAGAAGAAAGACAGTCAAGTTGGAGACAGATGTTAAGAAAGCAACTAAAAAGAAACCAAGGAAGATAGTTATAAAGCAATGAATTCAACAGGGTAGAAATGAGGTTAGAAATCGGGTTAGATATACCCATCTACCCTAAATTTATTTTTTGTGGTATGTTTTCATACGTGTGAGGGTGGTGATATCATTTATTTTTAAGTTTATTTTTTATTTTATTTTTATTTTTTTTTATATAAATGACGAAAACTATTGAGATAACATTTCTACTCAGCAGGAATGAGACCCTTACTGACTATGTATTCGTTTAATGCTTGATGAAAACAATGGTACATATTATCGTATGGGTATACACAACGTCTGTTTCCATCGTCGTCGTATATGTAGAGCTCAAATCCAGTCCAACCTTCTTTTGTACAATATGTAGCTTTATTTAAGTATGCATTTATGTAGATAAGGCAATTTTCTTCATCGCTCCAGAAATAATTTTTGTTCTTTGTTGAAATAGTTTTCGTTCCTCTGCGACCATAAGGAATGTATGCAATGAACTTTGCGTCATAAGGGATTGTAATATATTCAGGGTTTCTTTCATCGTCAATGGGTCTGTCTTTGTTAAAATGCATGTTTCTCAGTTTTACTTGAGTTTTGAATAGTTCACGGAAATGTTCTGGGAAAGAGTCATAGTAAATGTAGTCGGACATGTCTTTGTAATGAAATAAAAAATTTTAAAAAAATAAAAATAAGGTTATTTTTTATTTAGTGAGGACGGTAGTGAATTCGTTAGTGAAGTCGTTAGTGAAGTCGTTTATGTGTCAGACGGTTTTGTAAATATTTATGGTTAAGTTGGTGTTATGGTTGTGTTGTAAAATATACGTTACCGGTTTCGTAAAGTGTCAAATTCACATATAATGGGTAAGGAGGCGCGCAGTGCCTCCGTACCCATAATAGGGATACTAACTGAGTTTTCTCAAAATGATGAGAAGATTCTCAATGAAATCCCAAATGACCAGAATAAAGTGGTTAATCAAGTGATCAAATCAATGGCAAATCCATCAAATTACAAATTCGATAAAACATTACTCACCGAGAATTTATTCTCAATCGAACAAAAGGGAATCACGAAAATTAACCGAACCAAATTTCCAAAACAAAGAAGTAATCGTTTTCTTACAAGAAAAAAGAACATACAAAAGCCTAATGGTGATCTTGGTGAAAAATTTTCGAAAATTACTCGCAAAACAAGCAAAATTGAGAAGGCTCATTCAAATTCAGACCACAGCAGTTCAAATTCAGAAGTTACAGATGAACCTCTCTCAGATGATTCTGATGATGATTTCGAGGTAAAGGCTAAAGGTAAAAAGAGTCCATATCCTATTCCAGAATTATCAGATGGATCTTTTGAGACACCAATAAGTTCAGAATCCGAGACTTTTGAAAATAAAAAAATTTCAAATGCTCCAAACGAGAAAAGTACTACAGACAAATCTGAATCAGACAATGACGAGGAACCTATATCGTCTGAAAGCGACGTTTACAAAGAAGTTGAAGAAGTTCAAAATTTCAAAGAAATTTCCAACCCTGCTATGCCCAAAAAGAATAATGTTGATAGCGATGATGACGATAGTTGGATCATACGTCCAAAAAAGGAAATACAGAAGAACAAACTTGAAATTATTGCTGAAAAATGCGAAAAGAGATTAAACAGAGTGAGAAATTTAAGTCAGGCTTTACCAAAATTTGATGAAGATGATTTGGAAAGTCCTTTGTCGGAAGATGACTAATTTATTATATTATTTTTTTTATTATGGTTGAATTAAAGGTTATTTTATATTCATTGGATTTTGTATAGAATTGTAATTATAGTTTGAATGGAAACAATAAAACATTATAGTGATATAAGACATCTTTAGAAAAAAAAATTGTAATTTGACTATTTCAATATCATAAACACATTTCTATTGTTATAAAAGTCTTAAGTGCTTGTGATCAGACAAATCTGTTTTTCAATAAGACATCTTAGAAAAAAAAATTGTAATTTGACTATTTCAATATCATAAACACATTTCTATTGTTATAAAAGTCTTAAGTGCTTGTGATCAGACAAATCTGTTTTTCAATAAGACATCTTAGAAAAAAAAATTGTAATTTGACTATTTCAATATCATAAACACATTTCTATTGTTATAAAAGTCTTAAGTGCTTGTGATCAGACAAATCTGTTTTTCAATAAGACATCTTAGAAAAAAAAATTGTAATTTGACTATTTCAATATCATAAACACATTTCTATTGTTATAAAAGTCTTAAGTGCTTGTGATCAGACAAATCTGTTTTTCAATAAGACATTCTGATTCAAAACTTTAAATTATATCTCTACCTTATATCAATATCTCTTTTACATATAATATTAAAGCAAACAATGCCTTCCCTACTTAATTTTACTATTTTATTTTCAATTAATTTCATATTCTTTTATCTTTCACCTTTCTCAATATTTCTAAACGCAACTTCACAGTACATTACATTTAACCACCACTTTCTTTTTATCATAAATTTATTTTTTTAATCTTTATCTTTTTTATTTCTTTATTATTTTCTTCTTCATCTAATATCTTATTTCATCTTTCACCATTTTTTAATATTACCTATTGTTAACTCTTTATAATAATCTCATTCTGCAATTTTCATAAATACATTTTCATATAAAATCTTCTCAATTCATTTCAAACACATTCAAAAATAAAATTGTGAAATATTAATATACTATATAAAACTAATATTTTATAATTCATTATTTTTTTGAATACTTCTCAATTTTTTCTTATTCAATTTTTACTAAATAATTTCTCATTTTCTTTTTATTCTTATTCATTCTACATGCTGTTACTAGTTTACATATCATTAGCCGAAAAAATAATCATATAACAATCTTACCACATGTTAAATTTTTGATATATATGATTATTTTGAAATTTAAGAAATCGATTTCAAACATTCTAATAATGTCATAATGCAATCAGACAAATCCCAATTATTATAAACACTATAACATCGATTTTGACTTTAATTTTGAAATCGATAAAATATCTAGAAGATAAAAACTCATATATTTTGAGTGTAAACCTATTCAATTGTATTTTACTAAAGGATATAGATTCATTCACGAACTTAAATAAGTGTTCACTACATTAAATTCTCATTATTTAAAATCTGATTATTTGGCTTGTTCTTTAAAATCAAGTTTAAAGCCTTCCATAGTGTGACAGGTACATTGCTAGAGACTATACTACAAGTTGGGTTATTTTAATTATAAATTAAAATAATAATTTGCATTCGCATTACACATCCTAAGTCCAAATCAAACTTGACCGATATGTAATGATAGCTAATAATATATACTTCAATGCTATATAAATGAATACCCTTAGAAACAAATATAAAGAAAGATATGAATTTTTTAAATTTTCACTTCACCTAAAATCATTCTGATCCGTAAAGTATTGAAATCTATCCCGATTAATCGGGATAAAATTGAATGAGTTGATCCCAATTTCCCGATCAATCCCGATGCCAAAAGATAAGTCATTCTTTTCTCATAAATTAAAAAAAGTCACCTCACATGGCTCGGAGAGCCCACTAAAGACCAGCTTCGAAATGCTATAAAGTTCACTTTTCCGAAGGAAATACTTCGTATCTGAAGGCCGGAATAAGGCAATCATTATCTATAGCCAGAGCAGAATCAAAATCTCACAAGTTGCTAAAGATAGGATTTTTCCGGAAAATGCAAGATAATTGCAAATTTCATGAAAAAGACCTCTTTTCATAAACTTGCTTAAAAATTAACTTACTTGTATATGTGGTATTTTAAAGGTTAAGAGAAAGTTTAGATAAGTATACTATTTAGGCACCTGAGTACCCTCTAAGTTTGGGGAAATTGAGAGGATCAGTTCACTTGAGAATACCCCCTTAATTTAAATTCAGATGATCTAAAAATTTAATTTCTCAATTGCGCTTATTTTAAGAAAAACCTATTTGCTATCGCTTATTAGTGTAAACTTAACATTTATTTTTTTTGTTGTAAAGATTTTATATATGAACGGTTATCACCTCATTTGAAGAATGTCTTTTACTCAAACTGATGACATGAGAGCTGCCAAGGATCAATTACTGAAAGAACTTATTAGGAATTCGCCAAAAAAATATAAAGCTGTCATCATTTCGACAGAAGATTACGATAAATTAGACGCTAACGAATCTGAAGTATTACCCGAATCACCAAAGAGAGATAACATGAGTCAAAACATATTGAAGCATCATTCTCATCCTAAACATCATCATCATAGTTCACCAAAAGAAAACTCACGCGTAATTTGTAGTCGTTGCGCACGCGAACTATCAAGAGACCATGTATCTCGTATAAACAAGACTCCAAGACATCATCACAGATGTTACGCCCCTCCAAAATATTCTCAAACGGATCCAAAAATCCAACAATTAATTGAGCGCAGAATTCAAAAGGCAAGAATGCAACAAGCCATGGAGCAGCGTAGACTTGAAGCTGAAGCAATTGCAAGAGCTCGGGCGCAATATGAATTTGAAAGAAAACAAAAAGTACAAACTATCCTTGAAGAAGTCAGAATGAGGAAAGAGCTTGAGAAAATGAATCAAGAAGATGAAATGGAAGGAGATTATTCTGATTATTATGATGAAAACAATGATTATTCCGATTATGCATATTCTGACAATGAAGAAAACGAGGATGATGATGGAGTTGTTGAAAGTTTACAGAAGATTGCTGAAAACCTTCAAAAAGCTTCTCAGCAACTCACAAACATTGTTTCCAACAGCATGTCTCCAAAAAAAGGTTCTCCTGCTCGTAAAAGTAATTATTAGTTAATTTTTAATAAATATTAATACGTTTCTTTAAAGCTTTAATCTCAAATTCTAATTTTAATTTTAAAATAATTGGTATAATAACTATGGATTTATGATGATTGGTTAAAATTGTATGTGAAAAAAGATAATTTCCAATAAATGATAAGATTCTTTCTAGAGATATAAGTTCTGAAAATTGACAAATCCGTTATTTTAGAAATGGAGAATCCGGCGGAAGTGCAGGAGCTTAGAAACAAACTTCGCATGATGAAGTTCCCCCAAGACGAAATACTTAATACAGTTCGTAAGCAACAGCGTGCAATTCATAAGCAAAAGCAAGCCAATGAAACCATTCGTGCAGAGAACCAGGAATTGCAAGCGCAAATCGATGCCTATGATCAAGCCGTTGCTGCCCATGATAGTAATGAAGATCTCAACCAACTTAAGAATACTGAAAAAAGCCTTTCAAACAAATTGAGTGTATTATCAGCTGACTATGCTGCCGAGGACCAAAAGCGTCGCGAACTTGAAGATAGAGTCTCCAAAGCTAGGTCTGCTGTTGGAGGAATGTATGCTCAATCAAGAGAAATTGAGGAAGCACAAGCTAAGATCCGTACCATGGAAAATCGTCTCGATAAGTCTCTTGTTCGCTACAACAATAACCTTACACAACTTGCTGATAAGCGTAATCAAATTGATGAATTAAGAAAAGATCGTACAACATTCCGTCAAGTTATTGAAAAGTCCAAGGCTGAATGTGCTGCTCTTGCTGCAACTATTGAAGACCAAATCAGGACATCAAACGACTCTTACTCTCAGAGAGATAATCTTAAGATGTGCATTGCAGAATTAAAGAATAATGAAGCAGCTGAAATCCAACACTTTGAAAGCGATATGGATCGTCTAACTCAAACAATTGAGGGTCAAAGAATCGCTTCAAATAGGCCTCATGAACAATTGCAATCTGTCCCAACAATTATTTCACAAAGCGGTACATCAGAAGCGCAAGATGAAATTACCAAGCAAACAGAAGAGTATCAAGCCCAAATTTCTAAAACTCTTGAACTTCTTAACATGAAATCAACAGAAGAACTCTTCCAAGAAGCAGAAAATCTGGAGAGAGAAAATTTCTCACTCTTTAATTTTGTTGTTGAACATGGAGCTACTCGTACACGCCTTACAGATGAAATTTCTGCCCTTGAGATGCAGCATGATGTTATTTTGTCAAATTCACAAAGCAACGATGAATCACAGGCACGTGAACTCGAAGAAATTACAAACGATATCGAAGACACAAAGGCCCAGCTTGACGATCTGGCCAAACAAAAGCAAGAATCAGAAGATGCTTTCAAAGTTAACTATCAGAAAATTGATGAACTTTACCAACTTCTTGGTTGTTCATGGGAGAAGTCGCCAGATGAAAAAACTAATGTCACTTCTGCAAATGTCATGTTTGCACTTACAAATATTGAAACTGCCATTATAGAGATAATGGACAAAGTAAGTGCTAAAGCTAAATCTGCATTCGATGTTCAACCAGAATCCCGCTCTCAAGCTGGACTAGATTCATATAAGCCAGAAAAAGAAAAGAAACACGTTTTAGAACGAATTGATGACAATGCTTTGAAGACCTTAGAATCTTGTAGCGAGCCATTATCCCTTGATGATGTTAGGAAACTCATTAAAGAACCTTCTAATACCACAACTAATAATAATACAATAACTTCCGAAACACAGCCATCTCAACAA